AATGAGTGACCCGACAGTGAAGAATACATATATTTATAACTAGTTTAGCTTGTTCCAGAGGTAGATAAAATAGCTAAGTGTGTTAGGATCTAACTTGAAGTGTGTGTCACCTGTCAGTCACCGCGGGCGGAGATCCGGGAGAGCTTTCTAACGGAAACTCTGTTGTGTACATTATATATTTATTTACTATTTAGAGCAATAAAAGTAACTATTCTTAACATATAACATATAAACAAACAAATAGCGTGTGCCGTTCCATTTTCACTCTCGTCCATCGAAAACATGTTTTAGAATATAAAAATACATGAATGATGAAATGAGCACATAAAGTGCAGACATACTATAAAATCACAGTTAATAGACCTGCATCTGATGATCGCAGTGTTCTGGCGGGTGTGTAGTTTATTGAGTCAGCAATGTAATAATGGCCACTTCTTGCTAAATTTACGATGAGATGAAAAACCGGACTTGACCAAACAAATCACGGAGCTCTCAGCAGAGGACAGCCGGCGACGCTCCCGCCGATATCAGAGATGTCCCTGCTATGTGTGGGAGGTAAGAGAGGACATTTAAGGGCTATGTTTGATGTCTTTAAGTATCACCTGCTGGTGTTTAGCTGCTGTCCTGTGCCTTAAATCGTTTGTTTACGTCCCTCACTTCCGTTTCGCTTCTCATTTGCTAGCTGAACAGCTGATCAGAGTGGTTTCTTGGCCCGATAGCTTGTGTCCGACACCCGGCCGATTCAACATGTTGAATCGGCCGGGTGTCGACCGTGAAAGGCCAAATAAGGCGTGTCACGGCCGAGGGTTCGGGACACACCAAATTGACTTTGGGCGACAAGGAACCCGTTTTCGCCAGACAACGCAAGACGGCCGATATCGGCCTAGTGTGTAGGGGCCTTTAGAAGAGCAGACTCCCGTCGGGGAGAGCAGAATCTTCAGCCGCTGCAACTCTTGCTGTGAATCCATGCAGGCAGGGGCGGGACTTTATTTTGCTGAGCCACCATGCGGCCAATCATATGCGAGGACACACTAGGATCATACCATTATGTGAAAGAAGGGTGGGGGGCAGACGCTCCAAAGACAGCAGGTGTAGTGGTACAGGCCAGCTACAGAGCCACGGGGAGACGGGGAGCCGGATTTAAATGCAAGCGCGTCGGAAAAAGTCAAGAAATTTGCGAAAACCGAAAAAAGAAGCAGCATCTGGCTGCATTTCAATGATATTGGAGAAAGCAAAGCTGAGTGCAGGATTTGTAAAATGAAAATAGCCTTCAGAGCAGGGTTTTTTTTTGGTAACCACTCAGGATTTATTGCCAGAGGTGGGAGAAGTTCAGATCTTGTACTTGAGTAAAAGTACCTGTGTGTAGGAATACTCGGTTACAATAAAAAGTCCTGCATTCAAAATGTTACTCAAGTAAAAGTAGAAAAGTATTATCATCAAAATATACTTAAAGTACCACCTGCAGAGGGATGTAGATTCAGGTTTTTTTCCGCATAAAGACCGCCTCGCTGCACATTATCCCTTGCATAAAGATAGATTGTGGGTCCCTTATAACATGTTGTACAGTGGAAATAAACATTCTGGATACCTTAACATCAGGGATCTTATACATTAAACTCCTTCTGAATCAAACCGTCACGGTAGCCTTACCTTACTGATCCCTCTTAAAATAGAAGAAAACACGTTACTTTACCAGCAGAGAGAAAATGGATTATTAAATGATTAATGTGACTAATAAAGAGCAGTTTGATTATTAAGTATTATTCTGATCGATGTCATTACATTTGTGGAAAAGCACATAATGACTTGTTTAAGACTCGTTTTGTCAAAGTTTAGGACTTGGACTTGACTTGAACTTGCCCATCCTGACTTGAGACTTGACTTGGACTTGAGCGCAAAGACTTGAGACTTGACTCGGACTTGAGCGCAAAGACTTGAGACTTGACTCGGACTTGCAAAACAATGACTTGGTCCCACCTCTGCTGTTTGGTATAACTGCGGCAGACATACGTCTGTGAAATATTTACGCCCTGGAAGGATATAGCGTGGATCCAAGGTGGTAATAAGTCGTCGGAACCCGTTATCCTCCACTACAGAAAGAGGCTGCTGATCAAGTCCAATGAATTCCATTACCTTTGCTGTTATTTCTTTTGACTTCTTGCTGTCCCTGCTATAGGGTTCCTGCCGTTTAAATGTCTCACTAACTGTCAACTGAGTGGATGACGGAGTTTTTACTGACGCGCTGGCTTGCCTTTCATACTCGCTGTATACTTTGAGGTGATGAACTCTCAAATGTTGAAATAAATTTGTGGTATTAAATTGTCGTTTTTGCGTTCCACCACGGGGGATTTCTGCTTCACACTCCTTGCATACCGCTATTTTAATGTCTGTTTCGGACACCTTGAAATATTGCCAGACTGGTGAAGCCATTTTGTCAGCTTGTTTTGCCGCGCACAGAGAAAAGTGTATGTATTTTACGTCATGCGATCGGCGCTCGCGATCGGCATGTTTAGAGAGCGCCGATCGATCGGTCGAGAGTGAGTATCGGCCGATCTCGATCGGTGACCGATCGATCGGAGCATCCCTAATTGTAACTTGAAACGGGTCACGGGAGACCCGAACACAACATAAGGGACTTGATAATATTTCAGTCAAGTCCAACTAGGGTTGCAAAATTCCGGGAATTTTCAAAGATGGAAACTTTCCACGGGAATAAACGGGAATTTATGGAAATAAACTGGGAATTTTCCAAATTGAAGGTTGGCTCTTCATAGGGAACTTATAGTTGGGGAAAGTAGATTTTAGCATAATCTTGACTAAAACAAACAGATGCCATTCAAGTACACTTGAATATCCATGCCATAGCACACTGCTTACTGCATGGCTATTGAGACCACACAAAGGTTCGCAACAGGCTCACAAATGTGAGAGTGGAAAAACTGGTTGGCATTCGGGCAAACCTAAGGCTCTTTGAGCCTGACACAGAGCCATCCTCAACAAGGCTGGACAGTGACACTGAAGAGGAAGACTCATGCGGCTTTCACACCAGCGCTTTTCCCTTTCTAGCTCCTAGCTAGAGCTTTTCTGGTTCAGCTCCGGTTTCCCTTTTCGGCTCCCGCTCTGTTCACACCGCCCAGCTGCCGCTGCTGCGTCATGACGTCACCGTTTACATCGCTGATTTTCTCCCCAACGGAGCTCACAACAACAACGGGGGGGGGGACTGCGTCGGGTCGATGATCGTGTTGCTTTTAATCATACGAAGCCAGATTAAATTAAATAACGACTTCTCCAACCTTATACTTTTCTCCAGAGTGCCGTGGTTCATTGTTTATTAATGTGTTTCAGCGGCATTTACCGACCGCTGCAGTGCTGGCTGCTCTTCAACAGGAGTGTATTCTCCCGTTAGCTCCGGGTTAGCTCACACGGCTCTAAAGTATTCACTGTCTGACTGTCACACAAGCAGCTGATACATATCCCCAGTTCCCCTTAAGTGAATGTGTGTCAGTCTGAATTGACGCTGTTTGGCATCACAACGCTGTTATGAAAGTTTCTCTGGTATAACATGGGTGATGTTAGCATAGCAACCGAAGCTAAACTGACTAAGCTAAGCCGTTTTCTACAGGCACATTTTACCGGCGTATTTTTCATTATGATTCTACTTGTGATAGTCGGACATGACAACCTGTGCAGCCCATGTATTGATTCCATCCGATAGCTGCTATAATAACAAACAAAACGTCTGCCTGCTCTCCACAATGATCAATAACAGCGAACGGATGGTCAAAGTAAGGTACAAATAAACAGAATCACACGAAGCCTGGTTAGTGTTGCCTGACTTTATAAAGTGTGTTTTTGTTTATAAGTGTGTGGTTGCCTTCTAGTCACTTTGCTCAGCGCTACTCCTTGTAGGCAGGCATGACGAGACTCTTCAGTCGACCCATGTTCAGGGGAGGTTTCCTGCACGCCTCGACGTAAGAGAGACGTAAGCGACGCCGCGTCATAGCTCCGAAGCTCTTGCCTCTAGACCGACAATTTTTTGGAGCTGGAAGTGAACCGCATTCCGGAGCTATGACGCGGCGCCGCTGCGGTGTGAACAGGAAAAACCGGCGCTTTTCCAGCTCCACCTCCGAGCCGGAGCTGGAAAAGCGCCGGTGTGAAAGGGGCATGATGTTGGATGTTGATGAGGCCCAGGAAGAGCCCATTGACTGAAAGGGTTTAGCAAAAATGCAGAGGATTGCTTGAAAGAAGATTTGCATGTTTAATGGGACTTGGAGGGAGAAGGGCTCTTTTCATTTAACATTTTGAACGGGACTTTGTGGGGATTTTTGGATGGGGGGTGCATTTTTGTTCATTTTTTAATGAGTGGGGTTGGGGGGGATGAGTAACTTAATTTAACTCAACATTCCTGTTTTCGTTCTTCAATGAAACAAATAATTGTTCAATAAAATAATTAAAACTTGTTCTGTTATACTTGAGAAAAAAAAAGATTTAAAAAAAAAATCTGTTGAAATGTCATGTTTTTTTGTTTAATTTTGCATCGAATATTTCCAAAATTCCCCAGCTTAACTTCCATGGAAACTTTCCGGAAACTTTCCGCCCCTTTGCAACCCTAAATCCAACAGATTACTCTTCAAAGTGTCGTGTTTTGTATTTGCACAATGAATTAGTTGTGTGTTCTCAGACTCCCTGCAACTAAAAAATGAGAATCTACTAATAATGGAATTAACTACAAATGTATAAAATGTAATAAATATAGTACAATAAAAAAAAGTCCCTCCACTTTTACTTCACATATATCAGTCTCTTGTACAGTATATGTGCTGAACTTCCAAGATTCAGTTTGCATGTATGATATAAATGTATAATTCTCCAATAAGGCCTTTGTGTACAGCTGATGTTTAATTCTGCTCCTCCAGTGAAACCCTTATGTTTCCATGATTTACAGTTTCACTGTATTAAACATTTGTTCTCACTCGTGCTGTTTCTTTGTTTTTCTCCAGTTATTTGCCTCTGCACTCATTTGTCGTAACACTCCGCAGTTCGACGATCTGTTTGGTTTCTCTGTGGAGGATGTGTTGAACGAGGTGAAACGAGGACGACAACTGGTAAAGATTCTTGATTGTTTTCTGTCATGAATTGGCCTAATCCAATGTTTGTGTGTTTAGTTGTTTAAAGGTCCCCTATCATACTGTTTTTCATCAATATATTATAGGTCTCAGATATTTACAAACATGTCTCTGAAGTGTTTGGCTCTAAACACCAAACAGATCATTGCAGCATCCCATAAACCCCTCTGTTTCAGCCCTGCTTCAAAAGTGCTGAAACATCAGGGGTGTCAAACTCAAGGCCCGGGGGCCAAATCCGGCCCGTGACTTCATTTTCTGTGGCCCCACAAGAGCTTGCAAATAATATTATATGTTTATTATACGGTTACATGATGATTTACAGAAGCACGTTGCCCATAAACTACATGTCCCACAATGCATCTCAAATTTGACTTTTTTTCTTCAAAATATGCATTTTTTTTCTCCGAATTTGATTCTTTTTTTTTTTAAATGTTACTTTTTTTTCAAAATGTTACTTTTTTTTTTAATGTCACTTCCCTTTTTTTTGACTTTTTTTTATTTTGTGACATTCTCACTGAAGAGACTTGCAATTATTTGCCCCAGACTTCTGCTTTCAGACGTAGTTAATTATGAAGTTATTACCCTATCCGGGTGTGACGTTGACATACACCGAGCAAAACCACACACACACAGTGCATAACAACGGACTCCAGTGCACGCTATTATAACAATGTGGAATTTACATTAGTTGAAGTAGGCTATCAAGGCATTGCTAATTCCTGGCTACATATGACACAGATTCTGCGTAATAATGCCCTGCCCCTGCATCTTTTATTTCAATCTTTTTAGCAGATTTAGCGTTTTTAGTGAGAAAGAATTCCGAGATACGTTTTAGCGCCATGTCAGTTACACGCACTTTTTTTCCACATCTTTTTTATTTTTCTTCCCTGAAGCTAAATAATGTATTATATAGTTTAAAATAATAATTTGAATAATAATATAAAATATATCTCAGGCACAATGAAATGAAATAAAAATATTATATAAAAAAATAAATGTGCAGGCAGAGGAGCTCCGCCTGCCTGCCGCTAGGGGGTGCTGCAGCGCCCTTAGCACCCCCCTTCCCGCGCCCCTGAACACAATAGCCGCGTTCACACCGGAGTACTTTTCCCTGTACTTTTCGCGTTTAGTTCCATTAGTACCCCTTATGTCGCGTTCACACCAAAAAGAGTACTTCAAGCCGGGAACTTTTACCCCCATTTTTAGTGCCTGCTGAGAGATGGTACTTTCCTGGGGGAAAAAAGTGCCCCAGTTCTGATTGGCTGGGCGAATTGCAAACCATGCCCCGTAAAACTCTGAAATGTTTTGTAGAGCCGCCATTTTATTATCCTTGCATTAGCAGGGAGTCCCAGCAGCTTCTACTGAAGCCAGTCCCCAACTCCGGGGACTTCCGGCCGGGGACTTCGGCCGGCAGTATACACCATGAAGTGGTTTGCGGCCTGCCAGTAAACCCAAAGCAGAAGAAGACGAAGTGACGTCAGCGGCTCATTTGCGTAATCTTCCCTCAGGGAACTTATTCCGGTGTGACCGCGATCTGTACTAAGTGCCCTGGGGTAATAAGTGCCGGGGCACTAAGTACAGCAAAGTACTTGGTGTGAACGCGGCTAATGGTGCTCTAGGAAGAGATTCAGGTGATAAGGTGGGGGGGGGGTTACCTTGGTTGGTGATTGGCTAATGGTTACACGAGCCAAAAAATCGTTATGACATCATAAAGTGGCCAAAATCTGATCAGCTGAGTTCCAGACAGGTTTTTATATAAATGGATCAGGACAAAAAGTGAGCGAATCTTACTTCCTGAAACTTTCAGAATCTCTTTACGCAGAGGGGACACATGTTGATGTATAAAAGACATGAAAAAGTGGATTTTGCATAATAGGTGACCTTTAACTCATTTGTTTGTGTAAGATCTGTAACAAATGTAAGAAGAGGGGAGCCACGGCTGGGTGTGAAGTCGGACGCTGCAAGAAATCCTACCACTACCCGTGTGCTGTGGAAGAAAGAGCCGAGATCGTTGAGGATGTAACAAAGGAGAAATATGTGTAAGTCCAATATCAACGTTTTCTGTGTGTCTGGGTTATCCATTACCCTGTCCTGCAGTATGAACAAAGTGAAGTGTAAATTGGTTTTGATGTCAAACAACTTTGTGTTCTGCTTCAGGCTGTACTGCTACAAACACTATCCAAAAACACAAGGTAGGTGTGGAATTTCTTGACCTTCTTCCTGTCAAAACATATTTTCAGTTTATGACATATTATGTGTTAAAAATGTATTTTTAACACATAATACTCACCAAGTGTCAGAAAACACAACCCTCTCTATTTTCCTCCATACCCAAATCTCTAAAAAAGGGGCTGCAACGGATCTGATAAAAACTGATGCAGATTTGAACACTGTCCTGACGTCAGGAAAGTGGCGCTACGGCAATTGGACCAACTCTCCACCTATCAGGGGAATGTGGGGTTGGGCCACGGCCGGCCATTGCCGCTCGAAAGCGCTGTAGTATATATGCCAGGCCTGTAAGTGGCGATGTAGTCTGCCACAAAAGCAGCGAAGAAGACTCTCCGCTGTGGCTTTTTTTCTCCCTCCCCGAGGCAAGCGTTTGCTCCCGCTGCTTTAATTCAATGCAATCCCTCCCCGTCGAGGCAAGCACTGTAATTCTCTCCGGTTAGTCCACCAGCAGATGACAAACACCCACCTCTCCGCCTCTTCCAAGGAACGAGGGGACCGTGCGGCAGAGTTTCAGTTAGGTTTTCTTTCGCCGGTCAAGATGTCCGTTAAAGTTTAAATCTTCCGGTCAAAGGTCTTCTTTGTTATTTATTGAGCTTTAAAACAAATGAATAAAACAAATTAATAAAACAAATGAATAACGACAATATAATAAAACACGGAGGACGGAGATCTTTTTTTCTCCCCCTCTTGACTTGATCAGAGCACGGCTCCCCTCTCCTGCAGGGGGGCGTGGTCAGCTGCAGCTCATAGAATCAGCCCCGTAGACAGCAAACAGCACATAGAGCGAAATCAGGCATGGCTAAAATGCATGATCTGTTTGGTATTTTGAAAACAGAAACGTATTAATATACCTTATATAGGTATGGCCCTACAATATATCATTTAAATATAGCATGATAGGTGTCCTTTAAGATATCGATTCATGTTATCACAAAAGGGGCTTGGCTAAATATTGTGAATTACTTTATTATTCTTATTAGCAAATCGCAGTAGGGTAACAACAATGTGTCCAATTGAAAGATGACGACTGTGTTTGTCTATACAATCTGTTTCAGGTCACAATGAGCTAACAACACCAGAGAGTCTGATGCAGATGGGCTTCGACAGAAACAGAGCGTGAGTGATACCAAACCCCAAAATATATCCTGGCTAATTTAAGTCTTAGATTTGAGACGACTTTCAAGGAAGTGAAAGTGAAACCGGCTACGTTTTATGCATTTGATTGGACTTTTTTATTTTGTATTAATCTAATGTCTTAATTACTCCCTAAATGTTAAAATTACAACCTTAAATATTAAGGACTATGGGAACTTGGTAGGTACCCACTTTGTGTTGCTGTTAAAAATACATGACTGATTGAATGTTAGGAAAGAGTATCTGTTGTATAAGAAACAATAGGTCAAATACAGGCAGGCTATTTGTAACTTAAGAGCAAACAACACCAGATTCCCAATGGAAGATATGAAGGGCTGGATAGAAACCGGAGTGTCACAACCTTTGTATTGCCAATCGCTTGACATACAACTATCATATTCTCTTACAATGTAAGAAAGAAAGCATAATAAATGTTAAAAAAAGGTTCACCAAAGTATTATTTCAAACCGTCCATTCTTTTTTTTTAAAATACGTTTTGTTAATGCAATCAGGTAAGCCAACATTTATTTAAAGATAAGGGCGTTTTTCATTTAATTCTTTATGTAAAATGTGTTGTATTGTAGGCGCGCCGTGTTCCATCTTTTGTTATTATCGTATGGCCACATTGTGCTACATACCATGGGATCCTTAGCTATTTATTTCAATAAAACTGTGTGACATTATAATAAACCTGTCTGTCCTGTTTTCAGGGAGATGGCGGTAGCCATCACAGGGAACCAGGGAATAGAACTAGCCATGGACTGGTGAGTGACACACACACAAAACATATCAGTGTTGAACTGACGTGTGGACACGGTCCTCTATCATCACTGAAGGTCCCACTCTCACGTCTCTCTCCTAAAACCCTCCTGTGCTACTCTTTCCCAAGGTTCAAGGTTCTTTATTGTCAAACTGACATAGCTACAGAGTAATTATGTTGTTGGAAATCTTATGTCACAGGCTTCTCCAACAATGCAACATAATAATAATACAGATAGTAAGAGTAATACAAAAAGAAAAATAGTTATAAAATAAAGTGAGTATGTGGAATAGTGCAGTACGAGTCTATATACAAGTTATTGGAATGATATATATTAGATATTAGATATATATTACTGAGTAGCAGATGAATGTTTTGAAATTGTTTCAGCAGTTCAATTGTTTAACAGTCTCACTGCCCGCGGGAAGCAACTGTCTCCGAATCTTTTTGTTTTTGCCAGGATGCTGCGGTAACGTCTGCCAGACGGCAACAGAAAGAACAGTTTGTGGCTGGGGTGATGGGGGTCTTTGATAATCCGTAGTGATTTCTTCCTGAGCCGCTGGGAGTAAAGGTCCTCCATGGATGGCAGCTCCGTCCTGGTGATGTGCTGTGCAGTTTTCACCACCCTCTGTAAAGCCTTACGATTGAGGTCGGTGCAGCTGCCGTACCAGGCCGTGATGCTGCCAGTTAGGATACTCTCTATGGTGCACCTGTAGAAGTTGCAGAGTATCCTGGAATCCATTTTGAACCTCCTCAGCCTGCGGAGGAAGAAGAGCCGCTGTCGAGCTTTCTTGGTGATGGTGGTGGTGTGAAGAGTCCATGTTAGGTCCTCAGTGATGTGGACCCCAAGGAACCTGAAGCTGCTGACTCTCTCCACCGTAGTCCCATTGATGGCGATGGGGGCGTGTCCCTCTCCCTGCTGCTTCCTGTAGTCCACAATCAGCTCGTTTGTTTTGCTGATGTTGAGATGGAGGTTGTTATCCTGGCACCAAGATGTCAGGTTTTCGACCTCCTCTCTGTATGCCGTCTCGTCGTCGTCTGTGATCTGGCCGATGACGGTCGTGTCATCAACAAACTTCACGATGGTGTTGGAGCTGTGTGTGGCCACGCAGTCGTGAGTGAACAGGGAGTAGAGGAGAGGGCTGAGCACGCAGCCTTGAGGGGCACTGGTGTTGAGAATCAGGGTGGAGGATGTGATGTTTCCCACCCGCACTGCCTGGGGTCTGCCCGTCAAGAAGTTCAGGATCCAGTCACAGAGGGCGCTGTTGAGCCCGAGCTCTCTGAGCTTGATGGCCAGCTTGGAGGGCACAATGGTATTGAATGCTGAACTGTAGTCAATGAACAGCATTCTCACATATGTGTTCCTGTTCTTCGGGTCCAGGTGTGAGAGGGCAGTGTGGATGGTGAGGGATATGGCGTCGTCTGTGGACCTGTTTGCTCTGTAGGCAAACTGCAGGGGGTCCAGAGAGTCAGGGAGGGAGGAGGTGATGAATGATTTGACTAACCGCTCAAAGCACTTCATTATGATGGAGGTGAGTGCTACTGGGCGGTAGTCGTTGGGGCAGGTGATTATTGTCTTTTTCGGGACAGGAACGATAGTGGAGTGTTTGAAGCATGTGGGGACTACAGACTGCAACAGGGACCTGTTGAAGATGTCTGTGAACACCTCTGCCAGCTGAACTGCACACACCCTGAGAACACGGCCAGGGATGCCATCAGGTCCAGGAGCCTTGTGTGGGTTAACCCTTTTAAAGGATTTACACACATCTGCCCTGTTTAAAACAAAAGGGCATGGTAGCTCCTGGTCAGGGGCGGACTGGGACTACAAATCAGCCCGGGACTCTCAACCGGCCCACTTCGGTACCGCCGGCCCACCTCGTAAATTATCAACGGGTGGGGGGGGTGCTAGTGAGTTATCTAGTGAGTTATCCGAGCGGCCCACCTCGGTGCCGCAAGTAAATACCGCGAGGAAATTGTCGACGGGGGGGGGGGGTAGGGGTAGTGACTTATCCGACCGGCCCACATCGTCCGACCGGCCCACTTCAGTACCGGCCCATCGGGATTCGTCCTGATGGGCCGGCGGCCAGTCCGCCCCTGCTCCTGGTCCCTCTGTACCTCCTCAGCCTGGCTGCTCTCAAAGCGTGCAAAAAAACTGTTCAGCTCATCTGGGAGAGATGCGCACGCAGACACTCCCGCAGCACCCCCCGCTGCTCCTTTGTAGTCTGTCATTGTTCTTAGTCCCGCCCACATATTCCTGGTGTTACAGCCTTTGAAGTCAGATTCCACCTTCACTTTGTACTGTCTCTTTGCATTGTTAATTGCTCTCCGGAGATCATACCTAGATTTCCTGTACTCCTCCAAATCTCCAGCTCTGTGCGCGATAGTGCGCGCTTTCAGCTTGCCGCGCACCTCGCAGTTTATCCAGGGCTTTTGATTTGGGAATGTTCGTACAGAAACCTTCGGTACCACGTCATCGATGCATTTCCCAATGTAGCAGATGACAGTGTCCGTGTGTGTGTTGATGTTATTGTCCTCAAACACACTCCAATCCGTAGATGCAAAGCAATCCTGCAGTGCTGAATCTGAGTCCTCGCTCCATCGCTGTACTGTCCTTATTACCGGTCTGTCCCTTTTAAGTTTCTGCTTGTAAGCAGGCAGCAGCAGCAGTGAGATGTGGTCTGATTTGCCGAAGGGAGGGCGAGGGAGAGCCTTATATCCATCTCGAAAAGGGGAATAAACATGGTCCAGTATGTTTCCCCCGCGCGTCGGGCAGCTGATGTGTTGGTAATATTTTGGCAAGACCTTCTTCATGTTGGCGGTGTTGAAATCTCCGGCCACAACGAACGCCGCATCTGGCCGTGAAGTCTCGGTCTTATCAATAATCCCAAACAGCTGATCGAGTGCCGTGTTGTTGTCGGCGAGCGACTGCGGCGGGATATACACCATATTCACAGATGTGAATTCCCTCGGCAGATGAAAGGCCCGGGATGTGATCATGAGGTGCTCTAGATGAGCGGAACAGTCCGGAGAAATAATCTTCACATCTGTGCACCAGTTGTTGTTAGTCATTACACACACACCGCCTCCCTTACTTTTCCCCGAGTTAGCAGTCCGGTCCTGACGAAAAATTGTGAATCCGACAGGAACAATGGCGGAGTCCGGGATAGCGGGGTTGAGCCAAGTCTCAGTGAGAATTAACACGTTACAGTTCTTAATGTCCCGTTGAAAAGCAATCCGGCTTCTGAGTTCATCTAGCTTATTTTCAATGGATTGAACATTAGCCAGAAGAATACTCGGAAGAGGGGGTCGGTTCTCTCGTTTCCTCAGTCTGACCAGCAGCCCGGCCCGGCATCCTCGCTTGGTCTTCCTCCTGCGTCTCTCAGGTAGGACAGCAACAGGTAGCCATGGCAAATCTCCATTGTCTGTCGGAGGGTTATTATTGTCCACGAAGTTTCGAATGTGAAGAAGTTCCTCTCTGCTATATTGTGTGGCAGAGTAGGTGCGGTCATCTTGCATGTTGCGAACCATGTTAAAAGTAAAACGGCAAAAGTAAAATAAATACGCACAAAATACGAAAAGGGGCAAAGTTGGAGAGGAGCCCAAAGACGATGCGGCCATCTTCACCGGCGCATCATAAAGGGCCCCGGCATACTATGGACTCTTGTCATCTTTACTGTTTGTTTTCTCCTCAGGTTAATGGTACATCAGAACGACCCAGGCACCGATGAGCCTGTAGGGAACGTGGTGGGGGGAGCAGCCGTCACCCAGTCCCCCACAGATGAGCCGTCAATAGCAGACCCCGCAGAAGGTAAGGAAGAAGCAGACACTACCATTAAAGCCATCTAGGCATGCACAAAATGACACTATACACCTTCAATTTGTAAATGTAAGGTATATAGTGTCATTTTGTGCATCAGGTTGACGCATGGATTAAAGGCAAAAACATTATAGTTAACAATGAGTTATTTATAGCAGGATATGATATTATCCATGCTGCCCATAGCCAAACCTGTTCAATAGCATGTTTTTCCATCTATTCCCGTTTCCAGAAAACAACCCCTCCGAAAATGGACGTCTCCCTTTATCCTCACAGTCTAGAGCTTACAGAAATCCTGAAGAAGCTGGAACATCTAAGGTTTGATTTATGAAACTGTCTTCTACATAAATGTATAGCAAACCACTTAAAACTGTAATAAATAATTACCTTAAAGGGGACCTATCATGCAAAATGCACTTTTGTACGTCTTTTATAGATGAATATGTGTCCCCGGTGTTCCAAGGAACTCACCAACTGTCAGAAAACACAACCCTCTCTATTTTCCTCCATACCCAAATCTCTAAAAACGGGGCTGCAACGGATCTGATAAAAACTGATCCAGATTTGAAATTGTTCTGACGTCAGAAACGGGGTGCTCCGCCTATATGGGCAACTCTCCACCTATCAGGGGAATGAGAGGTTGCCGTGGCATGGTAACAGCATGGTAACAGCATGGTAACAGCATGGTAACAGCATGGTAACATGACGCTCGTGCCTCGCCCCCCTCCTTTGCAGGGGGGCGTGGTCAGCTGCAGCTCATTTGCCACAGAATCAGCCCTTGTGAAGACAGGGCTGGAATAGAGCAAATAGAGTGAAATGAGGCATGGCTAAAATGCATGATCTGTTTGGTATTTTGAAAAAAAAACTTCACAGACATGTTTTATATAGGTATGGCCCTACAATATATTATTCAAATATAGCATGATAGGTCCACTTTAAAGAGTTGGGCTCTGTAGATTTCAACAAATGCCACTCGAGCAGGAGAAATTAGTGCATCATTTGGGGTTAGTTTGAGGGGCGGAGTAATACACTTTTTTTGCAGTTTTGCAGCTGCAAGATGACTTAAAATAAATGCAGTTCAAATTTCTGTATTAATGTCTATAAGTACAATCATGTTTATCGAAGACACACATTTGTTTTTATTTCATGAGGTTTATTGCCTTACCTGTGAGAAGTCAGAAGGAAACATCGACTTGGAAAGTTTGTCTTATTATGTAAGTATGTTCACATTTTGCAAAGCTCTTTCTTTATAAGGCTAAAACTAAACATTTTTATGCTCTGAACATTGATATCTGATCCCTTTCTAACATCCACTCGTGTGTTTTTAGGTCATATTGTGACAAACATGCTCCTGGTTCACACAAGAAGAATGCCAGTGGTATGTCACACTCACAGCAACTCTGTCTTGTGTTTTTATTCTTAATGTTACAGATCCCTAAAATGATTATTCTTCTCGACAGGTGACTCTACTGACCAACGGCCGACTGTGTACAGCAGTGACTCAAACTCCTCCAGCAGTAGGAAGCCTTCATCTATCAAGGTACACATACTGTTCATGATCACATAAATACAGCTTTTTAATACTTTAATCTCACCATGTTATAGTGATTTTAATCATTCTGATTTTGCTTTTGAAACAGAGACGGTTGAGTTTTAGAGACAAGTAAGTGTGTGATTATTTTCATGCTCGCTTTGCTATTTTTTAAGGTTTAAAGTTGTTCCCTAAAAGTCTTGAAATGTTTTTGTAAAGTTGGTAGCATATCAACCCTTATTATTTGTATTTAAAAATCAATTATGTAGCTCCTTCTGTTAACAATTTCAAAACACTTCTTGCACAATAAAGCTTTATGAGAGATGTGTAGGATCAAAAACTCTGACTTGATCAAACAATGATCCTGCCCACTCGTCCTCACTGTGGGTTCAAATACTTTCAGGCAAAGTAAATATATATAACCATGACCATGCGTATAAAGGGGACTCCCCAGGGGAAAATCCACCAATCAGAGTATGACAGCAACATGGCATACATGCATTCAATTTAAGGTTAAGCATTAAATAAGAACTTATTTATGTTACAAACAGCGTCATATTAGACAAAATATAGAAACCTACACGAATGGTTATTTAAAATCAAACAGGTCTAATAATCACAATACACCAAATTAATGAAATACTGTATATGCAGTGTTAAAGTCCACCTGTGGGAAATTCAAGACTCAAATAGCTGACAATGATATCAGTGCAAAAAGCATACTTTGAATGCACTTTATATAAAAAAAGGAACAAAATCACCTTTAATGGACCACACATCAACACCAAGACTAACACCACCAACATATTCTGTATCTATGTCGGCACTCTTAAAGGTAGGGTAGATAAGTTTGAGAAACCGGCTCGAGATCGCTAGAATTTGAAAATACACAACCGGAGAAAATCTGCCACTTCCTTATAGAGCCCCTCCTCCAACACACACGAACGCGCACATGACCAATGAGGGCACGAGATAAGTTTGTGCATAGATGGAAGGCTGACAGGCAGGTAGGCCATCCAGTTATTTTAGCCGGGCCGGCTAAAATGATTGGTCGTGCTTTTTACAGTACTACGGCTTCCACAGATGACATTTTTGTATGGATTTTTTGTCAAAGCACTTAAGATATTCATTGCTATCGGGATGTTAAGAGCATTCCATGGAATATAACAAAAAGTGTATCTCGAGCCGGTTTCTCAAACTTACCTACCCTACCTTTAATGAAGTTGTTTTTAGATGTGAACTTACTGAAGACCAGAATATTGGGGTGTTTAGGTTTCAGATTTTTGTCAAGGTAGCTGGCATGATGGTTACCGATTGAGGGTGGACAAAATCACCCTGCTACCAACCAAACACAAACTACCAAACTTAATATCAGATGTTCACTAGTTAAATCTGCTCTATTCTTAAAAAACAAATCCAGACAAGTACTTTAAACTACAAAACAAATATGTATAGACTCTTAGTAATTTACCTATAATATGTATTAAAAAAACAAAAACACAAATAACTTAAATAGGAGTTCAATTTTTAATATTAAACTAAATGGGTTTTGTCTTCCTTTGCCTGATGAAGGTCTGAGGGACACAGTGTGAAATATGTTCATGTTTAAAGTCACTTACTTTTATTTTGACTTAAAATCAAGCTACTTGTTTACCCGAACACTTTACAGTGACAGTGTTTATAATAACTGACTCTCTCCTCACAGACAGAACGGGACCCCTTCTAAACGTAGATCCAAAGTCTTCAGGGCTTCACTGAGGGATGATTCTTCAAATTCAGGTTAACACACTTACAACGCATGAGAGAAAATAACCTATTTAACACTGAACAAAGGTTTAATGTGTTTTCCCTTCTCTTACAGGCGATAATGAATCGGATTCAATAACGGCCCCTTTAGATACTGATATAGATGATAGTGAACACCTGGTTCGTGAGCCTCTCGTAAGTCTCTTTTTTGATTCAGTAACAGAAACATCATCAATAGAGGTTGAAGAAGATCAATAATCTCATATTTATGTTCCTTCTCTTTCATTTATTCACCCTTTTGGCTGTTCGTCAGACGAGGTAGGCTCAAGTCTCTGTGATTCACTGAAAATAACTTTATTTCATTTTATGATATTTACAATGTGAAATGTACAATCATTTTTGCATCGTGCTGTGCATTGTGGGAACTTGTTGAAGCTACTGTTTTATTTGTATTATTAGGGAGACTCATTTCTGTCTGGAGGAAGAGAGCAGAGCTTCAGATGAAACAATCAATTCAGTGAGTCATTACATATTAGATCAAAGTCTAAGCTATATATTTCTCCTTTTAGCAGCATTTCATAAACTCTATTTATCATGTTCTCAATCTCATTCAGTCCTATAGTAGAATTGGTGATGTTAACCCGTGGTTTCTTAAAGGTCCCATATTATACTGTTTTTCATCAATATATTATAGGTCTCAGATACAAAACATGTCTCTGAAGTGTTTGGCTCGAAAAACCAAACAGATCATTGCAGCATCCCATAATCCCCTCTGTTTCAGCCCTGTTCCAAAAGTGCTGATTCTCTGTCTGTTACTCTAGATGAAAAGAAGGAGCCACTCCCCACGCCCCTCTGAGAGATATTTGGTTAAAAAGAACACAATAGGCGCGTTCACACCAGAGTACTTTTACCCATACTTTTCCCGTTTAGTTCCGTTAGTGCCTGGAATTTTGCGTTCACACCAAAAAGAGTACTTAGTTCCGAGAACTTTTACCCCCATTTTTAGTGCCTGCTAGAGAGATGGTACTATCCTGGGGGGTTATCTTGGTTGGTGATTGGCTAATGGTTACACAAACCAAAAAATCGTTATGACATCATAAAGTGGCCAAAATCTGATCAGCTCATTTTCAGACAGGTTTTTAAATGGTTCAGGACAAAAAGTGAGAGAATCTTTTTTCCTGAAACTTTCAGAATCTCTTTACACAGAATGGACACATGTTTATGTAGAAGAGACATGAACAAGTGGATTTTGCATAATAGGTGACCTTTAAAGATAATCTGATATTTAATCCCAGAATCTATATCCTTTTTTAAATATTGGATCCATAAATGGTATATTGAGGGTTCTTCATCTGACATGATTTGGGTTTGCTCCTGTCAGGATGCTGAGTCAGAGAGTCTGCTGCCTCCTTTCTCTCAGGCTGACTTCTCCACTCAGACGTCTCCAACGTCTCCGATGTTAACTCCCAGTGAAGTTCGGTGTAAAACGGAGAGACTGGCACAGACAGACGATGGAGGTACATTTTCACACCATGATGAGATTAATTTAGGTAATTGTACATTTGAAAATACATTCAAATTCAGGATGTAAACACAACCAGAATAAAGTCTTCACATATTCATTGAGTTTATAAAGTGCAAGAAATAAATCTCAGGATTTTTAACTACAATACACAAAGCGCTTAATTCTTTGCTTGGGAGCACTCTATAGAATCTCTAATGGCGCATTTCCACTACACGGCCTCGCTCGGTATGGCTGGGCCTCGTTAGGACTGGCTCACTTTATGGCGCATTTCCATTACAGTTTAGGAACTGGGGTAGTATCTATAGTAACGCAGTGTAGGCGGAGCCGTGACGTCATCTTCAATGAGAACCCCAGAAAAACAACACAGCCGTTAGCTGTTAGCACTCAGAGCTCACAGCTCCTCATATATGTTCAGAAACTAGACAAAAGTTAAACAAGTACAAACCACAGACTGCCTGTGTCATGGTGAATACAGTCGCTGCTTTATTTATGTCTGTATAGGCCGTTGTTGTGAGTGTGGACGGTCGGAGCATATACTGCGTTAGCTTGGCCAATCTCCATTTAGAAAACACGCATTTTAAAAGGTTTTTCGCCTGCCGTCTGTCTGCAGACTTGACAAAGCATTAATTCATGGTTTTTACTAACCGGTATCAGTATGTTGTTACTTCGGCATCATTGTGAAACGTGTATTACAATTAAATCACGGTCAAATATGTCCATCTTGTTGTAGTTGTAGCCCCCTTGCCAGCGATTCTCTCTCTAGTTTAGCATACTCAGCCCGACTCAGCCTCGTTGTCTCTGGCCCTAGACCCACGATTTTATGAGGCCAGAAAAACAGTGAATTAGGACCCGCCGGCCGGTACTAGGCCAAGTGGAAACGCAACTAAAAACGGGCCGCTGACGTCACAGCCCTCTTAAACCGTGCTCCGCGCTGTAGTGGAAACGCGCCATAATAGAGCCCTCTCTGGCCCAAAAAAAAGAACCTTAAAAAAACACTAACCAGTTCAGTTAATCAGCCAAAAGAATCGTGAACAAATGGTGCATTTGTCCATTTTAACCCTTTTCCATTTACAAATTAAATGCATATTTTGCAGCAAAAAGCTTTAATATTAGAATATTGTGTATAATTACCTGCATAAAATGTTTGCAAAGAAAGTTGGCCAGAATGGCATCCCGGAACATGGCAGTTCACACTTTTGTTAACACTTGCATTGAATGCCGAATGTAGCAGACTTGTGTGATAGAACAGGGGTTCCCAACCTTTATTGTGCCAAGGACCGGTAGATACATTAAAAAAAAATCGCGGACCGGTTGTCAATTTTAACTGATTTTAATATTTACTCACCACCAGCAGGTAGCAACATAGGCTAATTGTATGTAACAGCCTGAACAAATACTAGAACAATATGCATCCAAAACATATTAACAAAGTTTAAAAAAGAACCGGTGTTGTTTTTTTGGTTTTTCGGAAAACCAAAAAACCGACGTTATTCAGTTTTTAAACCAAAACGGGAAAACAGATAAATCAACGTTTTGGTTTTGTTTGTATGATTTACGGATAATCCAGTGAATGCTGGGAAAATGTCGTTCGTTCCGGTGCACTCCCGACAGCATTTAGCACTACATCGAGATTAAGATTAAACTAATTTATTTTGGGAACAGCCGCATATATGCCGGTGTCGGACAGACACAAACACACCGAACACACAGAGCTGAGCTGAGCAGAGCACATACACACACACATCATGCGCCTTGGTGACTGACTGGACATCTCCTTCATAAAACTAATAAAAGGGGGAGTAATCGGGCAGTTCAATGTGTGTAGATGTGTGTGTGGTTAACACGTAGCAGCCTGCAGTCACTCTTAAACTGTTCTGATTAAGTTAAACACAGCGAAGGCGGTGCGTAAAAAGGCACAGCTCTTTACCGAGTATACGTCCCGCTGCCTCCTGATGCTGCAGCCATTTCATGAAGGAGGGTTTCCTTCTATAAAACAGCTGCGGGCAGCAGATCGTGAGAGTCCCGGACATTAATTCATAGATCAAGGCAGACTGGTTTACTCTCCTGTTTTGCCAATCCGGTGCTTAAACAAATAGCTCTGCACCCCTGGCCGACATGTCCTTAAAATGAAGTCCGAGTTTGAAATATATCTCAAATAATGTATGCACCACCATTTCCCCACATAAACATAACAGTCTGCAATCAAACGGTTGTCTCCTGTGCGCTCCTCTTCCTACTTGGCGCACCGGAACATGCTCGTGCGCACAAGAGGCTGAGACCTTAGGCTGAGCCGCCGAATCCCTCGGAACATCATAAAAGCCATTTTTAACGGTTTTCTGGTGAAAGATTAACTAGCCACTGGATGAAATAATATGACTGGTGGCATAGGTGCGAAAATTAAACACGTTTTGAAAAAAATATTATGATAAAATATTTTTATATATTTATAATTCTGCAAATATTACGATAAACTCACAGCTATTTCGCGGCCCGGCAGTAACACCTCCGCGGCCCGGTACCGGTCCGCGGCCCGGTGGTTGGGAACCCCTGTGATAGAATACATGTTTACAAGCTTTTAACTTTACAAAGCAGACGTCCAAATGTATGAGGTTAACCTCTCGCACTAAATTTAGTTTGTTAATGTCAAGTGTTATACTGCTTTTTTTTTGGTTAATGCTATGTGTAAAACGGTATAGGACATGTCTAGTGACCGGAGGAAGGTGCTGTTGTTGCAGGAAGTCTGCACATGAATCAGGAACTGGAGTTGTGTGCTGTCAGTCCTGAGGGGAGTCCTGTCGACAGTCCATCTGATCCACACACCGCTGGACCCTCTCCCTCTGCTCTCACTGATGCTGGCAGCTCAGCCTGTGTGACCCTCCCCACTTCCTGTTCCCCTCCCGTGGCCCCTCCCCCTCATGTGGCCCCGCCCCCAGACCCCTCCCCGCCCCCAGACCCCTCCCCCAGCGGGGCCTCCAGCAGGTTCTGGAGGAGCTGTAACGCTGCCGGCTGCACGCAGAACATCTTCATAGGTTTCTTTAAGGAAATGAGCGACGTCTCCGACAGGATTCAGGCTGAGCAGGCCAGCCAGGAGGGTGAGAGACACGGGACACTCTGCAGGTGTTGTTTATGTCTCAAACACTTTTATTAAGGTCTCTCTCTTCTTCCTACAGATTATGATCTGGCGTTAACAGTGATGAGGGCTTCTGGGAAACTGTTAGAGCTTGTGGGCAATCAGCAGGAAGGTGAAGTACTAACCTTACTTGAAAATACTATACTATAACTTTTATTACGTTTTTTTAACATTCTATACTTTTCTTCTGGTATTTTAGTCATTCAGTCATTCAGTCTGTAAGAAGGCGCTTCCCAAAGACTTTCTGATGGCGTAGATCACCTTTTTCTGTGGCATAATATGAAAAGATAACATGTTGTTTTTCCAGAGTTACAAGGGAAGCAAAGGGAGCTTCAGGAGGCAGCGGCAGCGATGGAGGAGGCCGTCTCAGCGCTGAAGAGAGATGAGGAGCAGCTGTCACAGTCACACACATCACAGTTAACTGTAGACAATGGTAAAAGGCTGGATGTGGAACTACAAAACTGCATCAATATAAGCATCGATAAATTCACAAAATAGTAACACATTTTTTACAAAAACATGTTAGACAGAAATTCATTCTACCCAAATACATTTTTATTGAACCAAATAATGGGTTTAATTTTAAAACCTTTTATTAAAATGGAAAAAAAAATGATCTTAAAGAAGTTCCACATCCAACACGAGCAACTGACCCAAGTTTGCAAGAGTTTTGAAATTGTAAAAATAACGTATTTTCTACATACTATACTATGAATTTCTTTTGACATCCTATATTATGAGCTTTTATACTTTATATATAAGCTTCTGCAGTGACGTGCAGTGAGGTTCATGGCTGGTGAGGCACTGGCACTGACTCTTCAGGTTTACAAATATTATATTTTGACCTAAACCAAAATATAATATTATTTTCAAAAGCTTTTTTTGTCTGATGCTTCGATTAATTTTAAACAGACAGTTCAACAAAAGGATACCCAAAAAATGTCATTTTATCATTTAAATATTGAATTGTTCTCTCTTAGTAAGATCCCATTTTCAATAAAATGGCGGTCTTACCTTGACTTGAAGATGAAGTCCATTTGCCTATCCTTCTGGACAAACATTTCTATTACTTTTTTGTAAAAGTCCTCCTTATGTTCTTGTAGTTTCAAAAGTCTATCATAAATCTAATCCATAGATTTATGATAAAAAAATTATATAAGTAGGGTAGACATGTGGATGTTATCCGGCTGATCAAAACGTGCATTTATCTAACAGGTACGTTTCCCACAGATCTTATTTCGAGCTATTTTCTAAAATCCTCTGGAGAAATCTCATTGCTTTTTTGTGCTTACTTCCTGGTTTTAGGACGCGCCACTGCAGCTCTCTCGTCTCCTCTTCACACAGCACACTTTTCGCGGCACACGTACTTACAGCCAATCAGCTCTGAATGATTTGAGATGACGTATGGTGGGGATGGTAGCTCCGTGCCCCTCTGGTCATTATTTTTTTGCCACACACATTTCATTACAAAATACTCTGAGCATGCGCAGTGAAGTTTTTACAGTCACCGTTGACTTCACAGCGAGAGGAAGGGGCATAATCAGGTTTTGTCCCACATGGCTCTAAACAGCTCAATAGGCACACACTGTGACTGTAGACACACTAATTAGAAGAACACAGACTAAAACAGCAATGTACAGACGAATCAGATGATTAAACATGATCTTAAAATATATTTTATATCTTTTTTTATTTATTTTTTTGCATTTTTGTAATCATTATTTGTAATACTTTCTGCTGACACTAGGTGGGGCTGTGCCCCACCTGCCCCTAATGACCAGTCGCCACTGTTTATACTACCCACTGAAGTGATCACAGTGATGAGGGCTTCTGGGAAACTTGAGGCCGGGCAGCAGGATGTAAACTCTTGTGTGGCTCAGGGAGGGAAGTGTTGGTTGCTACCTTGAGTACACACTTAAAGGTGGGGTAGGTAATTTTGGAGAAACCAGCTCGAGTGCGCTAGAATTTGTCACTTCCTTACAGAGCCCCTCCTCCAACACACACGAACGCGCACATGACCAATGAGGGCACGAGATAAGTTTGTGCCCCGATGGAAGGCTGACAGGCAGGTAGGCCATCCAGTTATTTTAGCCGGGCCGGCTAAAATGATTGGTCGTGCTTTTTACAGTACTACGGCTTCCACAGATGACATTTTTTAATGTATTCTTTGTCAAAGCACTTAAGATATTCATTGCTATCGGGATGTTAAGAGCATTCCATGGAATATAACAAAAAGTGTATCTCGAGCCGGTTTCTCAAACTTATCTACCCCACCTTTAATAAATGTAAAACAAATGCAACATATTGATAACTTTTCAACATGTTTTTAATGATATTTTCAACATTAAGTAAATTGTTCCATTGTTAACTTTTCTTACAGTTATTGATTAAATATGGCCCTTTAGTTTAAAACAAAAAAACTCACTGTACTGGATCTTTCTGTGAAGATAGTTGCATCTCTGGTTTATCAATGAACAAAAGAGATTTGTTCCTTAAAAATCAAATGTCTAACTCAATCTCAATTCTCTAATGCACTATGATACATAAAAAAACAACATTTGTTTCATTTTGGTTTATTGCAATATATGTATTAATATTAAAACATACTTGTTTACAAGAAACCAACTTTTTTGTAGTCATTTGTTTGGAAAAAGGTCACAACATTTTAATGGCATTTCATAATACGCAGTATCAATTATAGTTTCTGATTTTGAAGACAAAATGTCCTGCATAGAAAAAAAGTCCTGCATAGAAATGAGCAAACATTTTCTTTCACATTCGCACAGCATGTCGTTTAGCTTAGTGTTAACACTGTAAAATAGTGCTTTTCACATACAGAAACTTTTTCATCCACCAAGGCAAGTCGACTCAAGCTTCTGCAAGGCCTCGTGTCTCACTGTAAACAGATTTTGAATGTTAACATACTTCTTGAGAAAACGAATTGTTCTTCTGTGTGCTAATCATGGACCAAATAGAGAAGCTTTATTGAATGGTATGGAGTTGTAGCTGCACAAAATAAGACTGTCTAATATGTGGTATCTGTCATTTCACACATGTAACAGTTTAAGTATAAATCTCACTTCAAAACCAAAACAAAATCACGCCTCAACCAGCAGCACTAAGGATCTCTCTGGAGTTTGACCTAAAGATGAGTTAAAAATCTGAAAAGTCTGCTGTTTCTTAACCCAGCGCAGTTATTTAAAGTGACGTTGTTGGAAGTAAGGGAGAACTAAATTATATTTTTCTTAATTGAATCAAAACGTGTGTTGTATAAGAAAATAAACTGCTTTCTGGAGGATTCAGCTTCCTGGGTCAATATAGCTCTCACTGAGGGATTCATTGCCTCAATGAATTGGGACATTAAAAAGGTGGCACATTTCCCCTTGAATTGATTTATCAGTGTCCAGTCTTCAAAACACTTCCTCTGTCCCGATATCTAAAAGTTCAACTTCTCAAACCTCATCCTGAAAACCACAAAATAAGATGGCACATCCAAGCTATGATGCAGTCTTCTAATAAAAAGAAACAAAATCATATTCAAACAATTGCAAACACTAAAGAAGTAACTTGGTCAATAATAAGGTAAAGTGATATCAGGCAACTGGCAAGAATATTTCAAGTTGAAACAACTCGATCAAGCGATAGTAAGTCTCGCAATGCAAATAAACCCTGTGTTTACACAATGTGTGTAAAGTAAGAAGAAGTCAGACACAATATACTGCTGTAACTTCACTGTGACGTCCGGTCATGTCTGGAATGAAAGGAATAATCTGACAGTGATGATAATCTATATAAAGTTTGTGTAACCACCCGTCAGAGGGGTCCTTTAGAAGTCACTCCCAGGGTCTCCACAGCATCCTCCGCCTCTGAGTCTATAATGAGCTATGATTGGTCAGTTTTTAAAGGCTCCACAGCGGCTGGCTCGACAAATGAAATCTTTGAGCAGGTTGCCGTTAATCTGCCAGAAGGCGGCGGTCTGGGTCACCTCCGTCAGGTGGTTCACACAGAACTTAAAGCAGAACTCCTCCAGGTCCTGAAAAACAAAGATAAGAGCACGGATTAGCAAAGGCTTCTTCATGTTGGCCCATGTTCTTAAAAATTAACAATTTATTTGGAGAGTTAGGGCCCTAGCGCAATATCCTACTCGTTTGTTCACATCTTAAGGTCAGGAAAATACCAAAGCAAAGTCTCAAGCATCATAAAAACAATGCAGGTTCGCAGGTTTTATTTGACTAAAAATATGTAATTATTATAACCAAGTAATACGTCTGATGCGCTGCTTGAGTGGCAACTGAATTTGTTCTCATACATTTCCTTATGTAACAGACTTTCTGCAATATGTTAGCCTCCCTATTTTATTCGTGCTTTTTATCTGCACTGTACCTTTGATGCAGTAATGCTGTAAATGTCCTGCTGTGGCATGAATAAAGGATTTCTGATACTCAAAACTAAGTAGAATGTTTCCCTATAACTATGGGATGGCAGGGGAACTGATACAAACAGGTGATAGTTGGTAGACTGTCGTGACCTCTGACCTCTGCATCGTAGCGCACGGCAGCCGCCAGCAGCGAGAAGGCGTTCTCCACGGTGATGCCTCTCTTTATGATGTGTTGGCAGAGGCGCTTCAGACGGTTCTCACAGTACGACGTGGCCAAATCCAGCAGCCCTAAGAGAGCAGAGATAATAACATGGTAAGTTAAAGGGGCCTGTTGTGTTCATGTTCAGATTCATATTAGTATTTAGTGCGTCTACTGTGACATGTCTCCGTGCTTTAATGCTCAAAAAGCTCTTTATTGTTCTCTGTCTGAAACCAGAGCCCAGTCTGCTCTGATTGGTTAACTGGACGGCTCTGTTGTGATTGTTCAACTGCTTAGAGAAGTCCCGCCCCTTAGCCTATCAGGTACAATGTGCTAGCTAATAGAAGCGTGAGTGTAACATATTGTCACTATGATCCGGAAGTAAACAAAGGAGTCTAATGGAGGCGTTTCAGGCGGGATGTGGGTGTGAAAATACATTAACAAAAACCTGTATAACACACCAACAATCATAATATGTCCCCTTTAAAACAACCAACATTCAAACTGAAGTCAGTCAGTGTGTGTGGTTCTGACCGATAGCGTCCTCAGGAGGCAGCTCCACAGCGTCGGTGTAGAGGAACTCCAGGAAGGAGCGGTACACCGGATAGGAGAAATGACCGATTTCTATCACCTCCATCATGTCTTCGTTCCAGTGCGACTGGAACATGGTCCTAAAGTGTTCACACCTGGAGAGAAACTCAAGTTATTTCTTTATAGTGGAGTAAAGTTTCAGGACTCTGACGGACAGCTCTGAGATGAAGTCCCTGACCTGATTTTGAGAATGGCTTTGTGGACGCAGATATGTTTGCCGTCAACGCAGAACTTGAGGTCGGCTGTCTCCGGGTTGTCAAACTGTTTCTTCAGAGACTGAGCCACGGTCAAGAAGTCATCGTGCTCTGCAGGGAGGACACACACACACACACACACACACACACACACACACACACACACACACACACACACACACACACACACACACACACACACACACACACACACACACACACACACACACACACACACACACACACACCACACACACACACACACACACACACACACACACACACACACACACACACACACACACACACACACACACACACACACACACACACACACACACACACACACACACACACACACACACACACACACACACACACACACACACACACACACACACACACACACACACACACACACACACACACACACACACACACACACACACACCTTATATATTAAACTAACTGAGACTCAAGGATCACAGATTTCTTCTGCGTTTTTCATGTCTGCTCAATCAGTACAATGCGATTTTATGAGTTCCCTTTTAAATTGGAACTATTTATTGGGTAAATAGTACTTTTGTAATTTCTCTTTGATCTGGCATCTATTGGTAGCTTTCTTATAGATTGTGTTTCCATTAAGGCCTGTGCCTGTTATGTTACAAAACCAATAAAGATAATGGTGGAAATAATTCAAAAATGAAATGCTAAAACATTTCAGATTAGCTGAACCTGTGTGTAGATGCTTCTTTAGTTTCAGACTGATGACATTATGCATGCCTGCACATATGAATAAATAATAAATAGATTTGTCTTTCTTTTATTACAACAGGTGAAAATGGCTCCTGTGAGAAAGTCCAGTTAAAGGTGGGGTAGGTACGTTTGAGAAACCGGCTCGAGATACACTGTTTGTTATATTCCATGGAATGCTCTTAACATCCCGATAGCAATGAATATCTTAAGTGCTTTGACAAAGAATCCATAAAAAAATTTCATCTGTGGAAGCCGTAATACTGTAAAAAGCACGACCAATCATTTTAGCCGGCCCGGCTAAAATAACTGGATGGCCTACCTGCCTGTCAGCCTTCCATCTGTGCACAAACTTATCTCGTGCCCTCATTGGTCATGTGCGCGTTCGTGTGTGTTGGAGGAGGGGCTCTGTAAGGAAGTGGCAGATTTTTTCCGGCTGTGTATTTTCAAATTCTAGCGCACTCAAGCCGGTTTCTCCAAAATTACCTACCCCACCTTTAATGAATAATGAATAGGTATTTACTCAGGGTTAGTCATTCTGGCAGTAACATGGAACAACAACTGGAAAATAGACTTTACAAACATATGACTCATTTGAGGTTTATGTCACGTTAAAGTAATTCTTTTTATGTATAAATATATTGTAAGTTACATTGTTGGAGGAGCCTGGGACTTAAGAGTTTTATTGCCAACAACTTCACTTTCACTATTGTGCATTGAACACAATAAAGCCTTTGAATGCAGTCCTTTAATAACTACTATCTCTACATCCCTGTGCATATGGCAAACAGTCAAGTTGCTCCTGATAGCCAGCAGTGTGTGGATGTCATTCTCCTGAGCAGGTGGCAGCCAATGCCTCTGTATGAATGTGTGTAAAGGGTAAAGAGATGCGGTATCAATAGAGTCCATTCACCAGTTAGCACATTAACCCTTTGCCTTACCCATAGAGAGAAGCTTCCACATGACTGAGGGCGTGGCGAAGCAGGCGAACACATCGTCGGTGCAGGTGAAGTGTGTGAGGAGGGGCAGCACGATGGACTGGCCCCTGCACTGACCCCACATGTACACCTGGCCGCTCTGAGTCTTACAGGCTGAGGTGTGTGTGGAGTGGCAGGCGGCGACCTCCACTATCCTGCAGGGGGGAGAGGAGAGAGTGAGGGAGGGAAAGGCAGGGAGGAGAGCAGTCTGTAGTACCTGTGGTGACGCTCACCTCTCCTTCTCCGTCATGATGAGCAGCGGGCTCAGCTGGTTGCTCTTGTTTCCGGTGCCCAGCTGTCCGTAGGTGTTGGCCCCCCAGGCGAACAGCAGCCCCTCGTCTGTGAGGGCCAGAGAGTGGGCGTAGCCCGAGACAATCTGGAGAGAGACAGACACTCTAAGTGTAAGACTGTTAACAGCGTAAGAATGTAAACATGTCCATTACAGAAAAGAAGTGTACAGATTTGAAAAACAAGCTACATCTGCTTCATGATGAACAATAAAGTTGTCCTTTTGCTTACTTCAAAGCGTCCCCATTCTCTTTACTTGTGCAACTTTTTAAATGTGAAGACTTGCTCTGTTTCATATATTATTAATTGTATACCTTCTTGTATTCTTGGTAAGACAAAAGAAGGTATCACTTTCGGCTCTGGTTACATTTAAAATAATAGTCTATTACCGGTACTAATAGGATTAAGGAGGTGGGATTTGAAAGCCTGTTTTGAAGTCTTGAAGAATCCTAACATAGGAGTATTTATTTATTATTTTACTGAAGAACAAACAAAGTGTACTTGCAAACGTGCTGTTTTCCTCTGTTATCGTCTCTCTTGTTTTAAAGGGTGAGGGCCCATTCATAAAAGGTGACAGTTCATACTTGTTTTTGAGTGTTGTTGAAAGTTTAAGAAGTGTTTAGGAATTCGTTTTCAGGTCCTTTAAGATAAGAGTAAATTGATTTAGCAACTCTTAATTAGCAGGTCGTTAACCACAGAGAGAAGATATCATAAGTAGTATAGTATTTATTCAGTGGATGACCAAATTAAATTATCCTAGAAAAATTGACATACATTTGTGATTTTTATAAAAATGTTTCTCTTAGAGTTATGACTTTTAACACAAACGTTTTTTCTCTGAATATTACCCCTCTCCACTATAAATCTATATCGCCCTAATAGTGGCACTGGCTGAGACACCCAAATATACGTTTTTGTGAGTTCCCGATCCCATACCTGCTGCACACATAAGCCCTGCAGCGCGGCGAGGCGGCAGGGGGTCAGCTGGTTCCCGCTGTTCCCGAGTCCTAGCTGTCCGTTCCCGTTGTAGCCCCAGCCGTAGACCTGCAGACACACAGAGAGCATCAGTGCTGCGGAGGAGATGGCGACACTGTGTTTACATTAACGTTTCAATCAAACAGTCACCTCTCCGTTGTCCAGCACTGCCAGAGACGAGGTCTGCCCGCACACGATGCCGACGGCCACTTTGTTCTGCAGACAGCTGGACACTCTGCGGGGGGTCGGCTGGTTCGCTGTGGAGCCCGAACCCACCTGACCACAGTTGTTGTAGCCCCATGCATACACCTGGAGAAGAAGAAGGTAGACAGTTATTATGACATGACACAAGATATTATCTATCCACACAATCCTATGCTGTAAAATGCACACTTTGATATCCCTTAAGAGACTGCAACAAACAGTGCTTCATGTTTAAAGGATGTGACTGCAATGAATGCACTTTATTATGAAGATTTTTGAAATATATATTCTCAGAGTAATGATAGTGGATCAGATGGGCTGAAGATTGGGAGTTAACTACAGTAAACGTGTTATATACATTTCTTGCTTTTCCCTGATGGATTTGAATAAATCCTAAATCTTGCTAAGCTCCAAAAACAGAAAGAGATCTGATTTTCCTTTTTGCTTAGAGATGAGAAAATGTATACCAGTCACTGCTTCACTATTGGCCCCAAAACAAATGAGTGTCCGAGAATATCAAACTTTTGATCAATCTCAACTAAACTTTTTAATCTCATCGCTTTACAAATTTGAAGCACAGTATATAAAACATTGTTGTTGTATCTGGGAACCAACATGTTTACAGCACGCTACAATATGAATCTGACAATATTTGAAATATTTTGTTGCACAATCGTGTACTTTGGGCTTAGTTTTCTACGTTTTTCAGCTCTGAGGGATCAGCTCCTGCTCAGCGCTGCCTCTGGCTAAATCTGAATCACATTTATCATTAGAAGGTTTCACACAGGTCAGGTGTCTGCTGCAAATACTCACTTCTCCTGAGTCAATGAGGGCCATGGAGTGGTGCGAGCCACAGGCCACCTCTGTGACCTTCTTATTCAGCAGGCTAGCCGACACGAGCAGCGGAGCGGCTCCTTGGTTGGTCGTCCCGTTCCCCAGCTGGCTGTAGCCGTTGTGACCCCAGGCGAACAGCTCTCCATCTGAAACCACAAAAACGATGAGTCATTCTGCAGCACTCTCTAATCCAAGAGGAGGATTAGACGTCCTGTGCAGCTACCCTCTGTGGCCAGCAGGATGTGGGGTCCGCTGCCGTAGCTCACGCTGACCACCTTCCTCCCGCTCAGGAAGTCCAGCTTCTTGGGAACAATGGAGCTCTGACTGTCTCCTGTCCCCAGGCAGCTGCTGCAGTTTAACCCAATCACATACACCTGAGAGAGGGGAGAGGGGGGACAAAAGAGAGAGCGAGTAACAGTGATAAGCGGGGCTGAGCAGAGGAAGTTATTGTGAGCCGAGTAGGTACCAGGTCACATTCCAGAAACACAAACATCAGGCGGTGCTGATAAGAGCAAACTCAAAACAGCACGCTACAGAGAGGACAACACAAGGTCATGAGCACAGGCCTACAGCTTGTTTTGACATTTACTTTAAGAATAATCATTGAAAGATCCATAACATTTTATTATATAACTAGCTAGAAAAATAGATACATTTTGATCTTTCTTTAGGGAAAGCTTCACTTTAAAGACTAAACCTTTGTACGTCTGGGAAACTTACCAATTAAAGAGCATGTTTCTCTGCAGGCAACACTATATTATGACATATGTATTTCTTATAAAGTCTTTATAGTGAAGAATACAACAAACACACTGAATCAAACGTATTTGGAATCAGGAAGTCCAGGCCTATGAAGGTTTGTATAGTAGAAGTAATAATTGTGTATTTTGCAAAAACACTAGTTTTGACACAACCTCCATTCAACTTAAACAAATCATGTTTTGCATCACGATTCTTTGTTCACAGTAAAGGCTTGCAATTTAAAAACGATTTGCTATACAAATGAAAATAATATCTAAAAAATAAGGTAAAATTAAAGTAATGTGAAACTTGTAGTCCAAGGTCCTCTAACTATAACGCACCAGTAACGATGGCTTCATTATTGCATGATTAACTCCACAGCCCTGTTCCCCCCCGACGCCTCACCTCATCATCTTTGGTGATGAAGACGGCCTCATTAGCAGACGTCCCAAACACGCAGGCTTTCCGTATCGAGGAGAGCTCCTGGGGCCCCATCATGCTGAAAATGGGCCATTTGGTAACATCGACCATGATGCTCTCTCTGTGGAGGGGTGAACCTCAGTGCAAGGGCTGGGGGGGGCGGGCATCAGCAGGAGGAGGTGTGGGGGGGCAGAGCTGCCAGTGCTGCAGTGAGCTGGTGTTAAAATAAAATGCAAAGTCAGTGAGCATCAAGGACATCTGACAACCTTTACAGTATAAGCATTTTTCATTTAAACAAAAGTCATGGATTCTATCTTCAAGGTTTGAATACTTTGGGACAGACAGGCGTGAAAGATACAGAGATGTTCAACAAAATGTAGTAATATGTTTGTATTAAGTGTGTACATTTTCTAAGAGTGATATCGTGAAACATGTAGATGCCCCAAAATCCAACACACTGTCCGACTTTTAGTATCAGCTCACAAATCATTTCAGTGATCTAGAAATGTCCTAATCCTGACAGGCCTCACCAGCAGATGGCTCAGTTACAGTGACATGTACAGAGATAAAGGAAACAGACTTGGAGATAATACATATTTTTCTTTAAAATCATAGTACAATGAGAGGATCCTTAGATCATTAACTAGCTAGATGTTAGGTGGCTGCCTGTTGCTGCACTGTGTCTACTGATTATTTTGCCTTTTACCATTTACCTTCTTATTTGGGTTTTTTCTTTTGTCTATTTATTTTATTGGTATTAACAATGGCCACATTTTGTTTTGAAAGTTTTCTGGTTACTCTTGTGTTACTTTCGACACTTTTTGTATTGAGTATTCTTGTGGTTCGTGTCCTTTATACTGTAGATATGTACATAGACTTGCTACTGTAATTGTTATTTTAGTTAATTTTATTTTATTATGTTTATATTTTCTTCCACCTTTAAAGATTTTGCTGCTGCAACAAAATAATATCCCAATGGTGCATGTGTAACGGAGTTAAACATGTGTATAAATAATTATTAGTTTATAAATTACGATTTACAATAGGTTGTGAATGTTATCTTTATGAGATTGTTTCCTTTTAATATTTTTGAGTAATGTTTCTAGTGGGAACACTTTCCCGTTGCACATCGTTTTCTACTTGCTGACTGTGTACACACTGCTGAGGTTAGAGTAGGCTGTGCTAGGAATTGTGTTACAGTTTATTACAATTTTGTTTGGTAAACCGGCTATTTAAGTTGATGAAAGTGATGTATGTTGTTAAGTGTCAATTTGGGTACATTATTAACCCGTTTTTGTTAAGTTTCCACCGTAAGAAATTGTATTTTGAGTGATATTTACGGTGTGGTTTTGGCGGGAAATAGACGCGATCTGCGTCATTTTCTTTGTTTACATGTCAACACTTTCTGACTTTTCTTTTGTAAAGATGTGCAACGCGGATGTACAGTAAATGTTGTGTTTGTTCTCAGGTATGTTTATGTTTGTATTTTATGTGATAACTTAAAAATAAGATTTCTTGGTCATTTCATAATTTCTCATTGTATAAATAAGCTAGTATGTATAAATAAATACTAGAGACACTGAAGTGAGCACTGCTGAGGATGTGCAACGCGGATGTAAAGGAAATGTTGTGTTTGTTCTCAGAATAAATGCCAGAAAACACACTCAGATGCTTCGCTGTCGTTTCCTGATCGATACCGAGTCGCTTACGGTTGTGACCCGTTGCACATGTGTAAACTAAAGATGAAAGTCTAGTGTTATTAATGTTTTTTTAAATGTTGCCTTCATTCAGCTGTGAGCCTGAATGCTGATACACACAGAGATGTATCACCTGTTTTAGGATGTTTACTATAACCTCAGTGTTGCCTGTGTCACTGAATCTGTTATTGGTGAAAACAGCTTATGGACCCGGAGAGGCTTATGCATTTCTGAGGAATTAAAAGTGTTGAAACCCTGGGTCTCTCAGGTTTTGTGTCATAACACGTTTGCCTATTTCCTATTAAAACAGCAGTAAACATGCACCTCTTTACTCATATAGCCTCTTAATGTTGGCCATTGTTACAAACACATTATTCAGCAGTGACACAACAAAGTGAGTCTAGACTGTTCCGTGTGTAGTCACACTAATCCCTGCCAACATGCAGTTTAACATGAAGAAAAACAGCTTTAAGACGAGTTTTAACGCTACAGAATAATAACATTATTTGATTGTATTTACCTGTTTATTGTGTACGTTTCCGGTGTTTCTGAACTAACCGTTTCCCCGGTTTGTTGGTGGGTGTCCGTTTCTTACCGCGGCCGCTGACCGAGGCTTATTTGCGGAAATGTGGAGGAAAAATAATACCACGTGATCCGAAGACCAAAGTAATCGATCGCAGACTGAGTTCAGATGGAGGGATCCGAGCTGTGAAAGCGATATTTAATCAATATTCGCACCCTTTTTTTTTTACACACAAATTATTTTCCAGAACTTTTCTATCACATTTGATCCTCTTTATCAGAGGATTCTATTGAGAGGCAAGTAACAGAAAAAACAATTAAGGTGATCAATATCCTGATCTGTATCGTCTTATACAAGTGGTTAAAAACAACAAGGTAATGGTAGAAGGTAATAATAAATAATAATGCATTTATTTTATATAGGCGCCTTTCAAGGCTCTCAAGATCGCCGTACAAACACATAAAAAACAAGATACACAATACATAACACCAGCATAAGAGACATAAACAAGACAATGCAGTATATAAATCAATCAAATAAATAATAACAGGATGTGTGATGGATAATGATCAGGGTGGATATGCGAGTGTGAAGTGTTTTTGAGACGTGATTTGAAAATGGGGACAGAGTCAGTGTTGCGGATGTCAGGTGGGAGGGAGTTCCAGAGGCGGGGTGCAGAGCGGCTGAAGGCTCGAGACCCCATGGTGGTTAAACGGAAGGGGGGTGCAGTGAGGTGGAGGGAAGCAGAAGACCTGAGAGTGCGGATGGGTGTGTTGATGTGCAGGAGGTCGGAGAGGTACAGAGGAGCTTGACTGGATTTGACGGGGAGCCAGTGAAGTTGCTGAAGAACAGGAGTGATGTGGTTAATGGAGGGGGTTCTGGTGATGATGCGGGCGGCAGAGGTAATAAAATACTAGTTAAAATAGCTAAAATAACACTTCGAGGTCAAACTAGTTGGAATCAAAACCAAGCAGAATATTGTCTTTAAAACTGTCAATGGTGTATCACCTTAAAACAGCTTTAAAAATAGGGTGGGGCTTTTATTTTGTCAGGATACATTTCTTGATCTGGGAAAACAGATGTAATTTGTATTATTGTCTGAGATTATATTTAATTCAAAGGGCATGTAGGAATTACAAGCCACCTGGAGGAAAATGTTTTCTCATTTAGAACATGGGGTGGTGGTGCATTTCAGCCTCTTGTGGCCAAAATGGGTAACGATGAATACATAATATCCTGACAAATAAAAATAAAAACCTGACAAAACTCTGTGGAAACATATTTGTTTTAACTTTTTTGACCAATAAAAAACAATACATAAAAACTTTCCAGGCAAAATCTTGTCTTCCCAACCGGTTTCACAGAATAGTGTTTTAAATGGATGAGGCACGATGGTCAGATGCTCAAATCCAGTTAGAACTAATAGGTCGAAATGTATAAGCTGCCTTGATGTTCTTACCACTTCAGTTCTCTTCTTGCTTTGGCGTAGCATGTGTCCCCAAGAGACTGAAACCTGGGGAATCTGGATCCGTGTCAAGCAGCGTATGTTTTACCAAGAGGCCAGCTATCTTATTTTTGTTACAGACTCAGCAATAAAGCCAAATTCAGCATCTGAACGGTGAGTCAATGTGACACTAACACACATGCTTCGATCCAGGACACTGTGACATTTACAAACCAAACATGTTCAATATTATATCAGACATTTGAAGTGTCCACTGTAATCTCACCGTTAGCACCAAATCTTCCCTGGCCTAGATTTAGCTGCGATAGACTATGAAGGAACAACACATTGATTTATATCTGATCAGTGCTGCTTATTTTAACAGTTTGATTGGAGTTCAGTACCAAGTTATTATGTTGAGAAAGTTTGTCATAACGACTTTAAAGGATCTTAAGCTTTCATTTAACTTTCTGGCAGAAATGGGCTTCCATATCGCTTACACTCACACAACTTAAATGTAACAGCTATTGTAAGGGTGAATCACAACACTTGCAAGCATGGAGGATCCAACGGCTAAACAGCAAGTTTATTTTGGTTAGGATCAAACACACAGATCATGTCCTGAGGGTGAGATGAGATCAAAATCCCCTGACTGAAATATGGCAAAGATGGTTTGTGGTGTTGGGTGGGGGCAAATGAGCGGGAGAAATGGTGTGTTACAATGTTTAGTGAATAAGATTTGGAGGGGAGCGGTTACTCTCACAGCAGAGAGCAGCAGGGACCAACGCCATGGCAAACTCACGAAAACAGGGAGACCACATATCTCTGTATCTCCCACCCTAAAAAGTCTTCAGCTGCTCAAAGAATTGTTTCTATTCAATAAAACCGAGTTTTAGTTGAAATGAAAAACAAAAAGGCACAATGATTTTCAACTCATTCTTGTCTTTAATATGCACAAGAGTTGAAAGCATCAATGAGCCACCTTAAAGAGAGGAATTCAATCTAAAATTTATAAAAAGACATAAAACAATCAGAGGCCAAAACGCTGTCTGTTGCTTCTTCTCCTAATATTTTATTTAAAACAACTTTTCATTAGCAAGTAAAAATCTTGCAACAAACATAAGCTTGTATCCAATTCGGATACAAGGCAACGAAATTGTAAATCTTTAAAGTGGCTCGGTCTAGTCTGCTAGTTCATGACTGTACACCCTCTCTATAGTTTTGTTCAGTAATAAACAGCTAGTCCCAAAAACAAGCCTGGGCTGCTCATAACAACCCCACCCAATACGTAAAACCCCAGTGTGACCCTCCCCCTCCCCACCTGTTCGGACCCCCGCTCAGTAGTTAGCAGCCAACCAGAGGATCGTAAAGTCTTCGAGACCAGGGCTAAGGTCGGGTTCAAAGTTTGACGCCGTGAACCCGCACCCCCCACACCAACTGGGACGGCACATTTTTAAAAAGCCCGTCACCATTACTACTACGAAGAAGAAAAAAAAAAAACTGCCTTTTCCAATTTATCAGCATGTCATCACAATACATATGCAAGTCAGAAATAAAAACATTGAAACCAAGAAATATTGCTTCAACGAAAAAGAAAAAAAACCCTCCCCAGCCATCTTTGACAGTAAATCGTCCTTCCAATGACTGTCAGCTGCAGCAGCTTTGTACAGGCTTTATGTAAATATATTCATATATTCATTAGACGGCAAGGAGAGATACACATCACACTTTTTGTACAATTATTCAAATTGAGTGATGACATGTGACCTCTTCAAAGAGAGAAAGTAGTTAAGTACTGTGTTTAGGACCTGTACTCGTTATATAAGTCTAGTCTTCAATGAGTATAGGTCCCCTTTCTGCAGGCAGACATCAAAATGCCTTCTCTGACGTGTGCATAAGACTGAAGAAAAGGAAACAATAAAACATATGGAAGCTCCACAGACTCAACCAAGTAGCTGAAACCTAAAATATGTTTGAATTTAAAACAATTAAAATAATCTTAAAGGTCAGATAAGCAATTCAGGTCGTTTTTTAGCTCTCTTTCTGTTAAACCACCCCCCCCCCCTCCCTCTTAAAAGTTTCACATTACAGGGGAGTCCCGAACAAAATCACAGGACGTGACCGAGCTCATGTCCTACAGACGGATGTCCTGCAGGGGATGAAACGCTTCGGCTGACATGTTCCTCTTCTCTAAAGTCTCTACGTCTTCACCCAAAGGGGCTTCCTCCCGTGACAGGTATTCACGTCCGAAAAATAAAATAAAAAACTGTCGTCGTCCTGCTCAACCAGAATCAAGCAGGTTCGTTTGAATTGGAGAAAAAAAGAACAGATTTATGGCATTTTCTTCACATTTTTGATGGTTTCTCTTTTTTTAAACAAAGTTTCAACAGAGGTCACGTTAAAAAAAAAAAGTGACGTCATCGAGTCAGGAGTCCCGTCAGTCAGTCTGCCACGGAGTCCTTTTTTTGTTGTTGCCTCGGAGCCCTTTCCCCCCCCTCCACCTGCCCCAGGACGATCATTGAGGGGTGCAGCGGGGGTCCGTGGTTAATCATGGCTTAGCTCTGGGATTAACTCTTTAAACTGGGTGAGAGAGGATTATTGGGGTGCCCGGCCCATGGGAATCTGTGTAGGTCAAGTGTTGACGTGTGTGTGTGTAGGTCAAGTGTGCGTGCGCGTAGGTGAAGTAACACCAGAGGACAATCCAGGGGAGGGAAAGCACAGAATAAACCACAAACAAACAGCAGTATTTCTTCCCCATAAGTGATATGATGGCTTCTAACAGAAGTATGCACACAAATTCAAAGTGTCAAAAAGTGTTTCTGTGTGTGTGTGTTTGTGTCTGAAAATGTGCTTGTGTTTTTTTTGTCTTTGTGAGAACTTGACATTTGGCAATTGAAGCTTGCCATGAAGGCTTTTTTTCTTCCTTCTGGTTTTTATTTTAAACTGGCAACCCTCCTGATGCAGGTTGCCAGGTTGTGACGGTGCCTGTTGAACGAGCAGGACTCCGATGTAGGGTAGCCGTGTTCGGTGAAGGATGATTAACAAACATAAAGAAAAACACCCCGCAGTGCAGAAGTGGGGTGGGTAAATCCTTCAGTGGTGAGTTTCCATGTTGAAGTGATGCTAAGTAAATCCTTCAGTACCAGGTTGCCAGGTTGGAGGAGAGATGGATGAATGTCTGGGGTGATTACAGAGTACCCGTGCAGCTGGTTGAACTAAAAATCCTGGCTTTTAGAAATTAAACTCCTTTGTTTGCATGTTGGAAGCTGGGTCAAAGTTGAAGGTTCCTCCTTGAGTGGTGTCCGGGATCAAGCTGGGGTCTTCATCAATCTGGAAACGATAAATATAGTGAGATCACAGCAGAGTAACGTTTCACTGAGCAGGACAAACACATGAAGATCACATGTGGTATACTTACATCATCTCCTGAGAAGTACTGATCAATAATCTCAAAGGCTAGTTTGTAGATATCCTCATTTTCATGCTGCTGCAGATTTTCTATCTTCTCCAAACCTGGGAATAGCAAAGACAACAATTCCTGTTATTAACATTATTACTGGGAAGATGCACACAACAGAGTTCAATCATACAATCAATAAGGCTCTCTCAATATGGATCCATTTGCCAAATAAGACATGGAATATAATACTCAAAACTCAAGTCCGTA